TTTCTGTTTGCTTCACAGAATTAGGAATTCTTCAGGGTTGGAACCCAATCCTACTCATCTTTTAAGAAATGCACAATGCATACAATTAAATCTCTAACCACGACCTACAGATAAACACAGTTAAATTAAAAAGTATTAATATTTATAGTTAGATGATGTAAACACAAAACAAGATAAAATACACGTGTTATAGCTAATTAATAAAAACAGAAAGTGCAAAATATATAGCATTAAGAGGAAAAACAAACCAATGAACAGAAATCAACACAAAAGGAATACAGGCGTTTGGTTTAAAAGATAAGAACGTTAAAACAACTGTTATAAGCATGTTCTTAGAACAGCAACACCTATCAAGCTTCTTAGCCTTAATAATTCCCAGCTCCCAGAACATTTATAGGTCTGAGACATTATGACCTTTGGTAGATGCTGTCCACTAATACCTTGTCCTAGTTACCAGAGCTTCAAGCTTACCAGTCACATTGTAAACCCAAATGAGCCATAACCTTTCTTAACTCTTCGCCAGAGTCACACCTGGCTCATTTTGAGATCTCTTTCTAACCGTAGGTCTTTTTTACTCAATGTGGTCATAATGAACCCTGTACTGGCTGGTTTGGGGTGTCACCTTGACACCAGCTAGAGTCGCCAGAGAGGAAGGAGCCTCAGTTGAGGAAATGCCTCCATGAGATCCAGCTGCAAGGCATTTTTTTCATCTAGTGATCAATGGGAGAGGGCCCAGCCCATGGTAAGTGGTGCCATCCTTGGGTTCTATAAGAAAGCAGGCTGAGCAGGCCAGGAGAAGCAAGCCAGTAAACAGCTCCCCTCCATGATCTCTGCATCAGCTCCTGTCTCCAGGATCCTGCCCTGACTTCCTTTGGTGATGAACATCAATGTGGAAGTGTAAGCCAAATAAACCCTTTCCTCCCCAACTTGCTTTTTTGGTCATGGTGTTTCGTTGAAGCAATAGAAATTCTAAGACAAACCTGGTTATGGACTTTTTACTGTTCATTAAGCACAGGGTTTGCTTAAATTTTTGGATTTGTAGGTTTAAAACTTTTATAAAATTCAAAAAGTTTCAACCATTATCTTTTCGTATAACCCTTTTCTGTACTCAGCACCCCAGCCTCCACCATGTCCCTGCCCATTTGGGTGTTCTAACTACACCAATATTGTGCCATCTGGTGTTGTTACACTACCCTGAGACTTTATCCACGTTTTCAACAGTGCTTTCTGCTCTCTTTAATTTTGGATAGCTTCTATTTCTGGGTCTTCAAATGAGGTAATCCATTTTTCTGTAATATCTGGTCTGCCATCAATCCAATTCAGTGTATTTTGCAATATAGACATTGTATTTTTTTCCCAGATGTTCTTAAATTGAAGTTAGCACATCCAATCTTCTGGCTTCTTTGCACATATGGGTTTCAATAACGATAACTGTTGTAATGTTCTGCCTGCTAATTTTATCATCCATATTATTTTATTCATTTTGAATCAACTTTTTCTTTTTCTTAATGGAATTTGTCTTCCTGCCTACTGGTTTTTATGGGCTCTCAGTAATTGTGAATTTTACATTTCGGGGTACTGAATATATTTTGGCTATATTAATGTTCTTCAGATTGTTTTCTGTGATGCTGTTGTTGAAAATACTATGGTCTTTTTAAGTATTATGTATGGGGTCTGTTAGGAGGAACTAATGTTTATGTTATTATTGTTGTTGTTATTGTTGTTTTGAGACAGGGTCTCACCTAGGTAGTCCTGACTGTCCTTAACCTCACTATACAGTCCATGCTATCTTCAAACTCACAGAAATCCCTGCTTCCTCAAGATGCCTCTGCTTCCTGAAGGCTGGGATTAAAGAGATACAGTACCATGCCTAGCTAGGGATTAATAGCTTCCTTCCTTGTTCCCTTGTTTAAATTAATCTATATTCAGAATTTCATTCCAAACATCACTAATGCTAGAGCTAAAGTTTATCCACTAATAAACATTTTGTGGCACCCGACTTTACACATATAGAACCCAGATCATCCATTGCATTTGTGGAGGCTGAGCACTAGGAGAAATGACCAAATTAAAATTATAATTATAAAACCATTTTCAAACACTCTCAGTTCACTCAATTGAAGGGTGGTAATGTAGCTCTTTGGAATTCACATTTACTTAGCATGGCTAAGGTCTTGGGTTCTTTTGATTTCTGGGGTAGCAAAAACAATTACAAAAAAAAAAAAAAGGCTACAAATTCCTTTTAATTGAAAGAGGAAGGGAGCAGGTTGCTTATGAACCGGCACTATGAAGGAAAGTTATATTCTGATCTGTGTGATTCCCTGTGGATTTGAGCGTTAGAGGGCACCTGAATCGAGGATGGTAAGAGGTAGAAATTACCCCCCTGACACACACAAACCAAGTTCTCTCCTCTTCCTCTTTCTTTGTCCTGGTTATCCAGGACTGCTGATGGTGGGGAGATAGGTTATACCAAAGCTTGTTTGCACATTTCGGCAGATCCCCAGAGGTTTGCTCTGTTTCTGTGATAGAAGGAAGTGTGTCTTGTTAACCACTTCCCTATGAGTTACTGCTGCCCTAAGTCAAATCTCTCTTCCCTCTAGAGCAAGTCTTATTGGGGGCATGGCTACATGCTTAATAGTAATGATGGTGATGATAATAATAGCAATAATAATAATTAAAACAACAACAATAATAACAACAGCAATAATAATACCATTCTCTTCCTTCCCAGTCTCTAAAGGTATCTCATAGAAAGCAAATTTGTAATTCCCTAAACTGAAACTCAAGGCAACCACCTGGATCATGAAATGTGACCAATTGGGTAGCCTGAGGGTGTGGACAGCTCAGGCTGAGGTGTAGCCTGCCTTGTTCAGCTACCTACTATCTGTTCCATTTCCCCTCAGCTGCCCCACAGCTTCTTTACTTGTGGGGTAATATTATCACCCTCCTCTGAGTGCTTATGACATGTCAGGTACATTTGTGGTATCATTCTTCCCTATTTTACAAATAAAGAAAATGGAAGTTACGAGCGTTGAGTGAACAAGAGCCAGGTTTTAAAGTCAGGGTGGTCTCTGAAGGAGTCTGCATCCTTTCCCAATGTAGTAGACATGCAGCAAGTCAAAACTGCTATTTTAATTATTATTCCAAAGTGACATCTATCATAATTATAGCATATGGATTCACTTTGAAGGCAGATCCACAAGACCAAGTCTCCTTTCATGTCCTATCAAACATGTCACTGTAAGCTTGAAAGAAACACACTTGCTACTTATGTGGCTTGTTCAATGATTTAACTCTATAAAGAAGAGAGATTCCATCTGCATGCATTGCATTCTCAATATAATAATTACAGGAGAAGGAACACCAGCCTAAGAATTTCTTAGGACAATATAGTTCTGAGAATTGTTTTGTGAGCCTCTCATTCCATGACTTCCCTCTTATTTTTATTCTCACAATAGATAAACATCTATCTGAAAGGAGGTTCTGAGTGGAGTAGTTAGATGATTGGCTGAAGTCGGCATTCTTGACTTAATGCCTGTCATACACATCCCAGCATCGGCGTTCTTGACTTAATGCATGCCATGCACACCCCAGCATTGTGTAGCATTGTGATATCTGGCAGAACGCTTTGCTCCTCTAGGTCTCGGGTGCTTTATCTGTAAAATGTGTTTGGCTTGTATTTCTTTTGATCTGTAAAGCCTTTCCTCTCTTAGGGTCTTGGCATTTGCAGGCATGGACGACGTCAGGGACAGCCCCGTCTCAGAATTAAATTCACCCTTCCGTGTGGTTGGCTCCTTAAAGCTGTGCTATTTTTAAACATGGGTCATTTCTACCAATTTATGACAATGTACCTTATTACTTCATTAAAATTCAATCCTCATATGTTTTCTCACCATCTAGTCTACTTTCACTTAGAAGTATTCTCTGAAAATTCTAGAACTTTGGTAAACAAAGCAGGGCTCTCTATGGACCCTCCATTGTCCGTAGATCCAGTTTAAAGGGGGGATTTGAGGGCACTTCCGCAGTATTAAATTTAACACTTCAAGCTTTGAATTTATTTTATATATAAAACATAATGAAGTCATTATCTGATTGTCATTTATGTAGCTCTCAACAGTATTAAAATTGCAACAGTCTGGAAACCCAGGCTCTGCCGAATGGAGAAGGCGAGGCAGTCATTTGTCAGAGTTGAAAGATATGATCTGAGGAAGTCGCTTTCTCAACTGAATCATAAACTCAGCATGTTCTTCCCCCCGAGAGCAGAGGGGATTATTTTATTTAAAGATGCTTAGTACTTCCAGGTTTATGGGAGAGGCTGCCTATATGTTCTAAACCCTGTCAGGGCCATGGGTCAAATTTGACTTGAAGTTACAATGGGCTGAAAAAATTGTTTTGTCTCAGTGAGGAGGTGGCTTTCCAGTATAAGCATTTCTTAGTTGAATATAGCATCCGTGGCTCCGTATTTAGCTGGCTGGCCACGTTCGTTCATGTTATCGGCCTGCTTCCAGAAGGCACATAAGGAGTCTTGCATCTTGTACTGAACACTTTACATCCGTCTTATCCTCAGAGTAGGTGTTAACACATGCTAACAAATGGAGGGTCAAAGGGAACCAACTCCAAGGCAAGATCACTGCAGACTGCCTGAGCTTTATAAATCCAGAGCTTTAATAGATCTGGAGTTTTTTTAGATTCCCTATTGTCCAGTATTGTCAGCGCCCCTCTATTCCATAACCAGGTTCACCTAGCCAGACAAGACCCTGCTTGTTTATCTCTATGTCTCCACAAATGGATTCCTTTCTAGATCAACCGTTTTTGGTTTTTTTTTTTTTTGTTTTGTTTTGTTTTTTTAAGCCTTTGAAAAACTCAGTAGTATTTATTGATGGAACTCTTTCTTCAGCTAAGAGAACACCAGGGTTCGACAACAATAAGATCCGAATTCTCATAGTTGAAGAGCTGAGTCTGTCTAAGGTTCAGAGTCGCAGACCCAGGCATAGCGTGCTGCAGGGAACGCCCTCAGCAGCCGTTTGATCCTGTCCACGCTTGCCCACACCACAGTTCCTCTGCCATACACCAACTCCCAGGTCTTAAACCGCGTCTCCACTCAGAGCCCGCCCTCCTCCCTGCAAGCAGGCCTGGCAGGAGCCTTCCGGTTCTCAGAACTCGTCTCCAGGCAACGGCAGACGCGCGGGGAAGCCTCGGAAGCCTCAGAAGCCTCGCGGCCTTGTGGCGCGCTCTCAGCGGGGCCTTGCTGGAGCAGGCTGCCTGGGTGAGCCTCGGGCATGGCCTCCAAACCAGCGAAAAGGAAGGAAGTGCATCGGATCAACTCTGCCCACGGATCAGATAAATCTAAAGAGTAAGGGACCTCTTCCACCCGGTGCCTTCAGTAACCCCTGCACCAGTCCCAGCTGGGGCTGGGACCGGCCCCAGAGCAAACTACCCCGTCCATCGTCAGGAATTGATCTGCTTGGCCTGTGTCTCTCTTCCAGGGGACCAGTCTTGGAGATGCCAGTTCCCTTATCCTCCTCAGTCTAGAGCCCCTTCCTTTCCAGAGAGGCTGCTTCCCCGCTCTGAATATTCCCACCTGTGACCTCGCCCAGGTCTTTCTTTCTATCCTAAGTGGCATCGGCCTCTTAGAAGTTCAAAAGGTGAAGAAGCTTTCTTAAAGAGGAGAGTTATCTAGGAAGACCCTGTTAAAGACCCGATGCTAGCTTTTGCTTGTCCCGCCTGGAAGGAGGCCTGAGGGGCAGAGGGGAGGACAAGGAGGGGAGGGAGAGGGGGAAGAGGAAGAGAGAGTTTGTATTTTTGCAGCAGCCCACCCTTCCAGACTTTTATCAGATGATATCAACCATGAAGTGGTTTCAGAAAACTAAGCGCACGGAGGTCTAAGTCCCCCCACGCCTCCCCGGGGAGGAGGGACGCAAGCTGGCTCATGGAATCTTTTTGGTATCATTTTGTTCTGGGATACTGTTGTGTCTGCTCTCGGTTCCCAGTATTCGCCTTTGGTGTTCTCTTCCCATTGGGTATATCCAGTTCTTCCGTAGTAGTAGATGTGTTGTAGATTTGGGCCATGACTTAAACGTATCGCATTTCTAAGCCATTCCAGCTTCGAGAGACCAACCCCCCCCACCCCCACCCCAGCTTCAATGGAATCCTGAACAGTCTTTGTGCAGTCCCCGTGGGGGATGGGCAGCTCAAGGTTTTTAACTGATTCTTACATACAGGCTAGCCTCTGCATCTCCTCCCCTCTCTTAAAAAAATTACTTCCTGCGTCTTTTACGCTCTGGTCCCTAGTGTTTAAACTCGCTGTCTTGTGAATTCATCTCTTGGGCTCAGTCTGGAGTTGACATTCTATATTCTTCTACTTCTGTCCTTTTTAATAAACACGCTTCCAGAAACGTGGCAGATAACCCGTTCATTTCATCAGCTTAAATGTCAGACCCGATGGTACACACATAAGTGATGTTTAACAGGATCACTCTACTTTTGGGTACTAGTTGTGAATAGGTACACTGCCTAATGTTCCATTCTAGAAGCCCAAGACCCGTGTGGCCCTGGAGAATCAGGCCCATGTTACCTCTGATTTTTACCTTCGCTTCACTGAACTTCAGCCACACTAGAATACCAGCTCCTCTGTACAGCTAGGATCTCTTCAGACATCTTCCCATCCCAGGGTCTTCACACTCTTGACCTTCTCTGTTGGCTAGTACTTTTTCCTACAGATGTCCACTTGGTCCTCCCCCATCTCTCTCACAAGTTACCTAAATGTCCTTTTCTCTCACCTTCTTTTTTTAGCTGCCTGTTTTAAAATTGTATCCGTACTTCCCTGCCCAAAACAAAACAAAAACTCAAAATACTCAATACTCTCTGTCTTCTACTTTGTTTCTCTTCATTGATTTTTGTTTATGTTACACACACACACACACACACACACACACACACACACACACACACACCTCACCATTTTTTAATTAATTAATTTTTTCATTTGTCTTCCCTAAAATTACTGAGTAATTTTAGGTACTTCCTAATGTAAGTTCTATGAAGGCAGGGTTTTTGTTTGTTTGTTTTTGTTTTTCTATTTTGTATGTTGTCAAATTCTTTGTACCCAGAATGGTTCTTGGGTCACGCATAGTAGGTATTGAAAAATGCTTTTTGTGGGTGTCTATATAATTATATGAAAAATAATTGATTAGTAGTATAGACCAGATCCCCAGATTCTTAGAATAAATAACTTCTATTCCACCATTATGAGTATTCATGAGCTAATTCCTACAGAGTAGCTGGTCACAGAAGACTGTTCTACAAGAGTGTCTCTGATAGCCAGACTGATTCATTGTCTCATGTAGAAAGAGAATCGGAGCATTGGGTAAAAATACTTATATGGAGTAAATGAATAAACAATTGTGGTTGACAGATTTTACCAGGCTTGGAAAGGAACTTTAAGCCCATTCCCCAAATAATGATGGTTATATACTCAAACCTATTTAGGAGCTTGGGGAAGTTGTTAGCATTAATTTAGTTTATTACATCCTGAAAGAGATAAGTTTTGTTTTGTTTTGTTTTACTCCTACAAGGCAACTAATCTTTATGAGTGTCTGGATAGTATAGAAGACATGATCTGGTAGGGTCCTGTGATAGTTGCATCATAAAGTAGAATCACAGTCCCACTGGTAGGATACTGGCTCTTTCTTTGCCAAGACTTCCAATTTCTTTTTAAAAAGATGAAGTATTTCAAATAAGCTTCTTTCTTGCACAAAATAATCTGAATTAAAATTCTGCTGATACAAATGCATGTTTGATTTATAAAAAACAAACAAAAAAAAAACAAATGGCAAGTACTTTTACAACATAATATTTTAAAGCTAGGTTTTGCTGCCAGTGATTAAACATTAAATATCAAATCATTATTTTGATGTAGCGTTAAATGAGAGAACGTGAAGTGAATGATAAGTCAAGTCCTTCCTCTAAAGTTTTATCAAAGAACCAATGGTAAATGCAAGGCTGACTCACAGATACAGAACAAAGTGTCTTACAGTCACAAAGCATTAGCGATCAAAGTCCAGCTAGACTCTGGTGTGATTGTCTTTCATAGTACTGTGGGGGATATTTAGAGAATTTTACGTCATGTTAGCACTCCTGTGGTTACACAGCTAATAAAATCAATCGACTCTCCCATGATCCAGGATAAGGAAGTAAGAGAAAATGCTTTCAGAAACTTGAAAGCAGCCATTCCATCCCCCCCAGAGCTGTCATCCATAACATCTCTTTTGCCCTAAAATTGTGCATCAGTCTGGAGACAGGGGCCACATCTGGCTTTTGCTTACTAGGGTCACCAACACCTGATAAGCTTTTGCTGTGTGCTTGGTAAATGATCTCTTAGTTTGGTTCCCTACCTTGGTTTTCAGTTCTTCTGGATTTGAGTAAAACCCATTTCTCCCTCCATTCCCTGCTTTGATCTTCTGTTGGCACCACTCAATACTGAGATGATACAACTACCCAGCTCAGTTTTTGCATTCAATTACTACTTCTGTTGTTCACACTCTTTCTCACTCGGCCCATATGAAATCGTTTTAGGGCTCACACTGACACCACGTAATTTATGATGCTAGACAAACATTTTGTGTTCAAATGATCGCTTTTCAAGTGAGGTCCATCAAAGTATGATTGCTTTTACCCCAACACCCCCTGTGCTTCCTTAGCCCTACTTTGTATTCCCCTCTATTATTCTATTAGATTTTTTTTTAACTTCAAGGTAAGTATTGGGATATCGGTAAAGATATTTAATGTCTTGTCTTATGTGACTTTTCCATTACCATTTAACATAATGGACATTAGCCTGACTAGTAGGAATCATTCGTTTCAGTACCTTAGCCAATTCTAAGAAGCTAATAGAATAACTAGCAGTTGTTTCTCACAGTCCCAGGGGCTAGAAATGCAAGACCAAGGGACAGGCACGGCCAAGTCCTGATTCACAGGGGATCCAGCTCTTTCTGCACTTTTACTTGGTAGAGAGGGTGAGAACCAATCCTCTTCCTCTTATATAGGCACTAGTGCCATCATGAAGGCGTTGCCTTTATGACCTAATTACCTTCCAAAGGTATCACATTCTAAAGCCATTCTACTGGCAAGGAGGATTTCAATATTTAGAGATGGGGGTGAGGTACCTCTTGGAATGTTATGTAATGATAATTAGCCATTATAAACACATTTGAGTGAGTTGATTTGATAACTAAATGATGTGGCAAAGATTCTTCCACCCATTACAATCTTGTAGAAGGATTCATCAGATAAGGGATTTGATCTTCTTGGAAGTACCAACCATAAGGCAAAAGAAAAGATGCAATCTAAGCATCAGAAGTATTTAGAAGGCTGTAGGGATGGCTCAGTGGTTAAGAATGTATGCTGTGTGCCGGGTGGTGGTGGTGCATGCCTTTAATCCCAGCACTCGGGAGGCAGAGCCAGGCGGATCTCTGTGAGTTCGAGGCCAGCCTGGGCTACCACGTGAGTTCCAGGAAAGGCGCAAAGCTACACAGAGAAACCCTGTCTCAAAAAAACCAAAAAATAAAAAAAAATAAAAGTGTATGCTGTGTAAGCACAAAGACCCAAGTATGGGCTCTCAGAGAGCACACATTTTTTTGTATAAATTATAAATTATAGTGGAAATTAAGGAGGCAATCCCACGTAGTTTATCTGATAGTCAAAAGAGATTTATTTTGGGTCAACTTACAGCAAGCAAAGGGGTTGGTTACAGGATCGAGGGGAGGTGAGGCACAGTCCAGTGTGGTTCTCTGGGGAACTCTGACTTGGTCTGCAGTCCAGCATCCAGCATCCAGGATCAGGAGGTAGCTAAGAGAGAGCAAGCAGGTTTTAAGGGGGTCCCATCTCAGCCACGCCTCAGGTGGGGCCAGGTACCTAGCAGTTACCTGCTGCCCACTAGGGATGGTGCATCAGGGTGAAGCACAGACAACTACCGTTACAACACATTAAAAAAAAAAATTAAAACGTGGATGTGGCGTCACAAGCATGGGGCTGTAACTCCAGGGTTGGGGACAGAGGCAAGTAGGTCACTGGCACTTCCTAGCTGTCAGCCCAGCTCCCAGTTTGGTGGAAGACTCTATCTCCAGGGAATATGGTAGAGAGTGACAGAGCAGAATGCCTGATGTCCCCCTCTGGTCTCTATATGTATACCTGTATCCACATGTACCTACTCCCCAAAGCCATTAGAATCATTAATGCACACTTTGACACACTGAAATATTCCAAACTTGAAGGGGTAGTCCACAACAGGGATGGGGTACAGTTTGGTATCAGTAGTCACAACACTTTTTTTCTACCCACCAATAACGTATTCAA